TTGGAATGAAATGGAATATACACACACGTTGCCCTTTTTGCCTGGCTTTGCTCTGCTCTGCTTTGTTTTTCTTGGTTGTCAAGAGCCTAGCATGTGGGCCACTGATGGTGCATTTGTCCTCGATGGCACTGGGGAAGGCTGGTTCCCTTTAGAGATATCCCTTGTCATCAGAAGGCCTGGCTGTGAGYTCTAGGTCTATCGTACTGGCTCTGTGACCCTGGACAAGTCACTTCCCCTAAGCATGTTCTGGTCTCACTAACAATGAAATAGGGTGATGAGGCTGGGACTGGGGTTCTAGAAGTCTGGTAGGGCTTTTCTTAGGCTGCATGAAGAAAGCCACTTGCCTAGAACCCAAGATTCTCCCTGGCTCCTTAATCCCAGTGCCGGGAGTGGAGGGAGCTGGCTGGTTTTCTCACCCTGTTGTTGAATGCTCAGGAAGATGCAGCCATTCACCAGCCTGAATCCATGGTCACCACACCATGGTGACTCAGCCTGCACATGCTGGGGGTAATCAACACAATCAGGAGCCCCTCACTGCAGCCTGGGAACAGGGAACAGGTCCACTCTGAATATTTGCTCCCAGTCATGTCATTCTTCCTCAGGGCTTCGGGGAAGAAAGAGCAGGGTCAGAGGCAGTGGTGACCCTGGCTTTAAATGCCTGCCTGGGTCCTTTCCCACAAAGTCACTCTCACTCGTCTCCCAGGGAGATGCAAGGAAAGTTGGTTCTCAGTTTACTTTGAGCTATCTCCCAGGGTATTTTTAAGCTTCACGTTTGTATTCCTCTCAGTACTTGCCTCAGGTCACATAAAAATGAGTCAGTAATCCTTGGGTGAGGGCCCAGGCTCTGATTGGTTCTTTTGCTGCTGATAAGCCCTGCAACTAATTGAGTCCAGGTGGGTGGGCTTGAGTTGGTTCTCATTACAGGCTCCATATGCCCCAATAACAAATGCTCATGGTCCCCAACTTAAGATGGCTCAACTTCATGATGGTGTGAAAGCAGTGTGCCTTCAGCAGAAATCACACTTCAGAATGCGAATTTTGAACTTGGATCTGGGCCAGTGATATGTAATATAATACTCTTGAGATTTGGGGCAGCAGCAGCGGGCTGCAGGTACCTGTAAGCCCCATGTTCGTGAAAAGCTGTTGCTCCACAATGGACTGTGTTGCTAAGCTAGGATGCTCGAGAATTTAGTGCATTGAATGCATTTTCAACTTAGGATATTTTCAGCTTCTGACGAGTTTATGGGATGTAAGCCAAGGAGCATCTGTAGTTGCACACGGTATTTTCTCATACCATCTCCAGAGCTCCCTGGAACCCTGAGGATACTATCCCCAGAGACAGTTAAGGAAGCCAAACTTCAGACAGAGGACAGGACTTGCCCAGGCCAGGATCTGACACCACATCCTAGGTTTCGGCACTGCACTATCTCTCCCCTCCATAGATGCAAGCGGACATACCAGCTTTGGGAGAACCCAGTCCTGAGGTGCCACATGTAGAGGCAGTTCCCAGGCCACCCTCTCACACATACTTCTCAGCTTCAGGGGTGGATCAGGAAGGTGCAGATTAGGTTTTTAAACCCAGTGGCTGAGGCCCACAGGGTGACTTAGCTTTGCTGACGCCCTCAGCCAGAAAACAGGCAGTGAGAAGAGCCAGGAGAGGGCAGGGTCACTGGACTGGGCAGGGCAGTCGAGCAGACTGCCACTGGCTGGAAGGAGAGCAGGCAGGAGTTTGGGATGTTCCTGCAGCACCCAGGAATTCAAGCCCATCTGCAGGGAGCTCTGTGATGCTAGGGACTCGGGCTCAGACTTGGGCAGAGAGGCAGGAACAGGGAGTACTCCCGAGAGGCAAAAACATTTTGTCCTCAAGCCTTCTCAGTCTGTTCAAGACAGGAAATTCCTAAATTCTCCTGAGGCGGTCAGCTTTCCCCACCACTGCAGCCCAGTAGGGGAAATAAGATAGATCTATGCATTTCCAATACTGGGCCCCCAATCCCTCTCCCAGGATCTTTGGCCAAGGCCCCTTGGCTGCCCTCTATCAAAGATGGATGCCTGAGTTGCAGGCATGGGGCGAGCAGCAGTTGCCTRAGAGCCCCAACTTGTCAGCAGAAACCATGGGTCTCACCTGTCTCAGCCACTCTTGTCCTCCTGCTCCTTGCCCTCTCACCAGCACCCGCTCTAGGGGAAACTTTCAGCCTCTCTCCTCCCACAGGCCCAGAGGCTAGGCCCACAGAGCTTTGCAATCGCCTGAGTTCATTTTCATTGGCTGCTGATAAAAATTCAGTAGCAAGTTTAGAGTTAGGTCTTGCCTAGGTAGGAAAAGCACACTGGAAACTGTCCCCAGGGCTCTAGGCTTCCTGAAGAACATCTGTTTTTTGTGTCCCCAAAGCCTTGCTCCCAAAGTCTTGGATTTTTAGAGATCTCCTAGCTGTATTAGTTTGTGTTCTGTTACTATAACAAAACAGAGGAAGCTGGGTAACTTGTAAAAAAATGAGATTTACTTTGGCTCCTGGTTCTGGAGATCTAAAAGCATGGCACCGCCTCTATTCCCTTCTGGTGAGGACCTTGTGTTGCTTTATATAATGGCCAAAAAGCAGGAAGGAGAAACCAGTGAGAAAGATGGAGGGAGGTTCCAGGCTTGCTTTAGAAAGGTCTTTTCTCCTGCTAACTAATTCAATCCTGTGAGGGACAACTCACTGCTGTGGGAACTAATCCCGATTGAGAGAACCTTACCTAGCCCCTTGAGAAAGATGTTAATCCATTCATAAGGTCAGTGTCCCTATGATTTTTTTTAAAGAGAGAATGAGAGAGGGAGAGAGAGAAAGAGAGAGAGAGAATTTTAATATTTATTTTTTAGTTATCGGCGGACACAACATCTTTGTTGGTATGTGGTGCTGAGGATCGAACCCGGGCCGCACGCATGCCAGGCGAGCGTGCTACGGCTTGAGCCACATCCCCAGCCCCAGTCTATGATTTAATTCCCCCTCCGAGGTCTCACCTCCCAATACCACCAATATGGAAATCAAATTTCAACATGATGTRCTGGGAATGTAGCTCAGTAATAGAGCACCTGAGTTTTGGTAAGTTCAAACCATAGCACTAACCCTCCTGGTCCCTGCTCCCACCAAAACCCAAACCAAAAACAAAACAAAAGCATAAATGGACTTATTGAAAGTCAAAACCCTCTGGCTCACAGAACCAGGGGGAGATAGACCCTGGGCATCTGAGGGCTCATCCTGTACAGGGCCGTCCTGCAAAGTAAGCAAACCTTATCTCCTCAGAGACAGGGGTGAGGTCAGCCTGGAGGAAGATTCCAGGAGTGAGATAAAACCTGTCTATGAGTCCATCTCCACAGAGACCTGAGTGGGAATGAACCTGGTTATACCCAGAAAGTCACTCTGGTTTTGGCCCTTCCCTAGCTGTCCCTCCCTCTCAGATGGAAATTTTTGTGAGGTATTTTTGACGTATAGTAAGCTGCATATATTTAAGGAATTTAATTTGATGAGTTTTGAATGTTTACCTCCATGAAACCTTCACTGTGACTTTAAAAAAATAAATATCTCCATTACTTATTTCCTCATGCCCTTTATAATCCAGCCTCACAGCCCCTGCCCCAAGTACTCACTGATCTGCTTTCTGTCCTTTTTCTTAGTTGATAATGTACCTTCATTTAATTTACTGATTTATGTATTTATACATGGTGCTGAGGATTGAACCCAGCACATACTAGTCAAGCACTCTACCACTGAGCTACAACCCYAGCCCTGCTTTCTATCCTTAAACTTTGCATTTTCTAGAATTTTGTATGAATGGACTCATCCAATATGTATTCTTTCTTTGTCTGGCTCCTTTCATTCAGCATAATGATGGAGAGATTTATCCCTGTTGTGATGCCTCCCAGGGCTTTATTCCTTTTGGCTGTGGTTTTCTGTTGTGATGGGTCTATCACAGTCTTTTTATTTGTTGGCCTGTTGATGGGCATTTGGGTCATTTCCAGTTTGGAGTTATTGTGAATCAAACTGCTATGASTATAAGTCTTTGTGAAGATTTGTGATTTCATTTCTCTTGATTAAATATGCAGGAGCAGAATGACTAGATTATATGAGAAGTATRTGCTTAACCTTTTAAGAAACTGCCAAGTCTATTTTTAATGGGTCTGTACCATTTACATTCCCACCAGCAGTGTATGAGAGATCTATGCTGCTCCACATCTTGGCCAATATCAACCATGGGATGGTCAATCTTGGTCATTCTAGCCTTTCTAAAGAATGTGTTATTCCTGTGCTAGAGTCAAACCCAGGGCCTCACACATGCTAGGTAAGCACTCTACCACTGAGTTACATTTCTAGTCCTATAGTTTATTTTGTTTTCTTAAAAAAAAAAAAGAATAAAATAGGGTTGGTAATTGGCTCAGTGGTAGAGGACATGCTTAGCATGTATGAGATCTGAGGTTCAGTCCCCAGCACCAAAAAAACAAAAAGGAAGAAGAAAAAGAATGTACCTATTTGATTAAATATGTTGTATGCATAGATCATCTCTTGCAAAATGAATCAGGAACTGAAAATTGGTGACCTCTGGGGAGAGTTGCTTGGTTGGCCAGGGAATGGGTGGAAGACTTTACACAGACTCTTTGATACCTTTTGAATTTGGGGCCATGCGATCATATCATTTATTCAAAAAAGTAAACAAAATTTAAGAAAAAATAACCTCATAAGATACCAAGGGTTAGATTCCTCCTTGAGGTTTCCTGAGGAAGCAGAGCCTGGTTTAAGTGTAGCTCTACAGAGATCTCATTGTTCACTCCCTGCTCTCTTGCAAGAGTGTTGTCATGTCAAGGAGAGAAACRGGGCACATCTGATTCCTCTGTAAGATCTCCAGCACCTCCAAACACTCTGGAAGCACGTAGAACCTGGGCCTCAGCATAGCTAATTGGTCTCTTTGTTGAATGACTGAATGAATGAGTGAAATAATGCTCACCTGGTGTTCTGATGTCTACCACACAGAAAAGAAGAGTGACGGAAAGAGTGGCCTTCTGCCTCTGTCTCCCAACCAGCCTGTGGCGCCCATCTTCCTACAAGGCCTCTCTGATCTCAAAGTCATGGATGGAAGCCAGGTCACCATGACAGTTCAGGTGTCAGGTCTGTCCCTGTGTCTTTCTCCTTGGGATGCTGTGAGAAGGGCCATGRTTGCAGTACAGGTATTGTTCCCCAAGGCCCTGCTCAGAACATTGACCCACCAGAAAACCAGCATAGGGCCACCAGACAATGGACCAARAGAAAAGAGGCCTTTTGGTTTTTCTTTTCTGTCTCTGTAGGTAGAATTTTCTAGATTCAAAGTTAAATGAATTTGGGGAAGATGGTGGTCAGAGGTAGAGGGGTGAGGGATTAATTTGAATCATGTGTGGCCAGTGTGGTTGGAAAGTTCTGAAGACTGGTGCAAAACCTGGTATAACTCTCAGAAGATGATCTCAGTTGCTCTTTCCAAATTTTAAGGTGAAAGGATAGAGTAGAGGTCATTCTAAAACAGGGACAGGGCAACAGGAGCTTGTGACAAGGTGTGAGCAAAAGAAGCCCAGGGAAGCTTCTGGCTCAGTGCTCCTGGCAGGGGGCAGCCATCATGCCTTCATGGTTCTTGGCTCCTGATCAGTGCCTCTGACAGCTTGGAGGTCACTCCCCTGGGTTTTTAGTTCCTTTTGAACTATAGAAGCAATAAAGATGACAAGTAAGAGATCCCGTGAGCTCACCTTTGTAGAGATGCTCAGATGATCTCCCTTTCTGGCAGGCTGGAGGCCAGCCCCAAGATAGAGAACTGGTCCCCTCCCCTGTCCACATGTACCATACCACTCACGGAGTCCTCCAGTTGGAAGAGATTGGAGGCACTTTACACCTGGCTTCCAGGCATGTGATGTCTGACACACAGCAGACAAATAGTCATCTGCTTGCTCTTAARCCTCTGCAGGGACCATTGCCCCCCAGCCTACCCCAGCTGCCTATTTCAGGGACGTTGCTCTTCTGAAAGCAGAGCTTTATAATCAGGTCTTACATCAGAGGAAATACTCACCATTGGCCATTGTTTCATGCCTCCCAAAATTCCAGAAAAAAATAGATTGGTGAAAACTGACAGTTCTGTCCACCAAGAGCCATGTTTGGAAATCCTATGCAAGCTGGTGCCTAGGATATTTGTCTGGTAGAAAAATGAAATGTTAATTGGACTCTTCTTCTGGTGACAATCTGCAAGGAAATTACCATGAAGTCACTATTACTTGCACTGGATACCCTGTGTGGGGAGTGCAGAGCAGAAAACATTCAGTTTGAACCCAGCGATCTACTTAGTATCATAAAGCTATTTGAATTCTAATTTTAAGAACCATTCTTTCTGGGTTTTCTTTTTTCATCTCCAAAATCATATTTTCACTTCAGTTCTTTCTGGTTTCCCCAAATTTGTTGTTTAATAATCACAATGAGTATACATTTGGTATTTTCTTTGTGTCAGATCTTATTCTAATGGGCAGCTAAAGGAGGTTTGATTCATTCATGTGTACTTCCTGACAAACCTACAAGATAGGTGCTATTAGAATACCTATTTTTCAGATGGGAAAACTGAAGGTGCAAAGAGTTTGATAGAATATTTAATAAGATATTATAGTATTAGCTGAGTGTGGTGGCACATGCCTGAGGCTAGAATGAGGGCCTAAGCAACACGTCGAGACACTGTCTCTAATAAATTACAAAAACGGGCTGGGGATGTGGCCCAGTGGTTAAGCTCCCCTGGGTTCAATCCTGGGTACAAATATATATATTACAGTATCAAGTGCACAATTGCTACCTGACCAAGGAAGTTGTGCCCTAACCAGTTCCCCACCCCTCCTCTCACTTCAGGGAATCCACCCCCAGAGGTCATCTGGCTGCACAACGGGACTGAGATCCAGGAGTCTGAGGACTTCCACTTTGAACAGAAAGGCACTCAACACAGCCTTTGCATCCAGGAAGTGTTTCCAGAGGACACAGGCACATACACCTGTGAGGCCTGGAACAGCTCCGGGGAGGTCCGCACTCAGGCTGTACTCACAGTGCAAGGTGAAGCTTAACTGTTCTGGGGGATGGAGGTATGGGCCAGGCCTTTCCCAAAGCAATATGGAGATGAGCACCCTGCAGAAGCCCAATCTGGTCCCATCCCAGCCCCAGAGGCAGCTCCCTACCTTCCACCTCAATCTCTGGCTGAGAGGGCAGCACCCCGCCCCACCCACAAGCCTTCTAAAGTCCCTGCCCTCTCTGGACTACTGCTGACAAGCTAATAGAGTGCTAAGAGAAAAGCCTACAGTACACTTAATTTGGCAACAAGAACTTTGGAAGCAGGTTATGGGCGTACTGGTCCCTGCCCTTAGAGAGCATGTATGTAAGAGGAAAGGCAAGTTAAGCACACAGACTGCAAGGATCAACTGCTGGTCGGACACATCTCATGCAGATCTTCAGCACCCAGCCCAGTGCCCGCTCACTCTGGGCTCTCCCCTTGCTTTGGGAGTATTCATCTTAAAGCTTCCTCTAAGAACATAGTCAGGAATGATATACAAGAAAAAGATGTGTTGTGTTTGTATGTCCCTAGAAATAATTTCTGGACTAGATGTTGCTGTTCTTTGAGTTACACGCTGTCTTCCCACTCCGCCACCAGGGAGGACATGGTGTATGCCTGTGCTGCAGGGCCTTCCTCTCTCACTTTACCCTTTGCCATCTTCCAGAGCCTCACGATGGCACCCAGCCCTGGTTCATCAGCAAGCCTCGCTCGGTGACGGCCTCCCTGGGCCAGAGTGTCCTCATCTCCTGTGCCATAGCTGGTGACCCCTTTCCTACTGTGCACTGGCTCCGAGACGGCAGAGCCCTCTCCAGACACACTGTCCATTTTGAAGTACTACAGAATGAGGATGTGTTCACCCTGGTTCTAAAGAACGTGCAGCCCTGGCATGCTGGCCAGTATGAGATCCTGCTCAAGTGAGTCTGCATGTCCTGCCGCCTCCCTTATCTTCTTCCCCCAAGATTCCTGGCTCCCTTAGCCTGAGATTGGGCATCCAGAGGAAGCACAAGCTTATGTGGGGGTTGTATTTCTAGGTAAAGAAGTACAATCTTGATAAAGCTGACAAATTGATTGTTACACTAGAGTAGAATAGATTCTTGTGGAGAACCTTTCCTTCTGAGCACAGTTCCTCAGAAGTCTCTGTCATATTACATTCTGGATTTTGCATGTCATGTAGTATATGGAAGATAAGAAGGAGGGAGTAAAGGATTAAAGGTGGAAACAGGAGGATAGAGGGAACACATTTGTAATCTATTGCTGTGTAACAAAATACCCCCAAATTTAGCAGCTTGAAACCAAACATTTATTATCATAGTTTTTGTGACTTAGTGTGTTAGTCTGTTTTCCATTAGGATAATGAAATACCTGAGACTGGGTAACTTTATAAAGAAAAGAGGTTGATTTAGCTTATAGTTCTGTAAGTCCAAGGCTGGGTGCTGCACCTGGTGATGACCTTCTTGCTGGCAGAGTCCCAGGGTGGCACAGAACATTACATGGCAAGAGAGAGAAAGCACACTTGTGTCCTAGTATCTGTGTCTCTGTCCTTCTCTGTCTCTGTCTATCTCTCTTTTTCTCTTCTTATGTGGCCACCAGTATTCATTCTTGCCCCACCTCCATGACTTTATCTAATCTTAATCGCCCAAAGGCCTCACGCTAAACACCATGGTTGGATTAAGTTTCCACCCTCTTTAATACCTCACAGTGGAGATTGAATTTCAACACATGAGCCCTTGAGGGGCACACTGAAACCATATCCAAGCCATAGCAGTTGGGAATTTGGAAGCAGCTTAGCTGGATGGTTTTTCTTTTGTTAAATTGTCGTTGAGTTGTCAGTGGAGCTAAGGTCTCTGAAGGCTGGACTGAGACTGGCGGTTCTGCTTCAAAGGTGACTTGGCAAGAGGCCTTGGCTCCTTGCCCCATGATCTCTCCACAGGCCTGCTTGAGGGTCTTCATGACACGACAGCTGGCTTTCCCAGAGATAGTGACCTAAGAGAGCCCAAGTCTGRACCTGCAATGTCATTTATGACCTGCCCTGGGAAGTCACACACCATCACTTCTGACATTCTGGCTGTTAGCAGTGAGTCACAGAGTACAGCCATGCTCAAGAGGAGGAGAATTAAGTTCTGCCTATTGGAAAGAGGAGTCTCAGAGAAGGTGGAGACATTTTTGAAACCAGTGCAGGGAGATTACCTTTCCCCATTCCTCTTTTCTTACCTTTTTGAGATCTTGCTAGATTACAGGGGAAGGTAAGCACCATGAAGGCATACCACGGGGTCCCCCACACCTAGAAAGGTATCTGTCCCATAATAAGCATTTGGTAGTCATTTGTCAAATGTTCTTTTACCTTTAAAATTCTCCAAATCTTAAAATTCCATGCCTGGGTTGGTGTAAGCATTGAAGAATGCTTGTCCACACCTTGACCTGCAGACGGGAGGTTGTGCCATGTCCTGAGGATGGTTAGACCTGCCCGGGCTTAGGTGCCTGGCAACTTTGCAAGGAGCTTTCTCTCCTGGACTTTTTCATGTCTCTATTCTCAGCCCATCGTGCTCAAGGCTCTGAACTAAAAATAGACTATATGTCAAGGCTACTGCCATGATGGGAATGGTGCCTACAATAATTGAAAAACCTCAGTACGCATCCCATCCCCTTGGGTCCTTCTGGGCACATGATTTATCCTTGTATCAGTTGGCCCTTACTGGATAACAAATCATCCCAATACTTACTGGCATTTTTAAAAATAACCATTTTTAAAAAGCTATTTATTATCCYTTAGGAGTCTTTGAGTCTGCTGGGGAGATCTGCTGATCTGGGCAAGACTCAGTGGATCCCAGCTAAGCTCAATGATCTGGTTGTGGGCTGCTGGTCACCCTTCTACCATCAGCAGTGTGCTCAGGAAACATCAACTGCCTTTTGCTTTGTTGTTACCAAGAGGGCAAATCTGCTTCCACGTGAGGAGACCCCACTCTTACTCCCTAGACCAGTATAAAGGATGGAAACTGATTCGATGTGAAAAATGCTTGCTGACGAGCTGTCTGTATGGAGGAGTAGACAATATTCATGTTACGCAAGCCAGATATCTCAGAGGAGACGAACTTTCTGTGGTATTTAGAGGAAAAAGAAAAGCCGATGTTCAATGAGAAGGGGTTGACTGTTGAATAGACTGAGCAGAAGAGGGTCGAGGGTGGGAAGGGAGAGCAGAGCAAAAGCAAAGGGCTATGGGAAGTCTGCCAGCCCAGAGAGGGGGGCTACTTTGGGAGGTCGGCAAACAGACTTTCTGGGACCAGCTGAGGACAGTCATAAAATGAAGACCGTCCTCAGCTGAAAGGGATTTCAAATGCTGTCTAACCTCCTCCTCATTTAATAATCGGGAAAACTGAGGTCTCCGTCATGGACTTGCTCATGACCACTCAAAGGCCATGAGCAGAGCCCAAGTTCGAGCCCTTGTCTTTTGATTTAAATCAGACACTCTTCTATTCTAATGACCCAGTTTGGGGAGTTTCTCTCCAGTGCACTGGGAACTGGGGGACCTGGGAAGTGGCATCTCTATCTTTGCAGCCCTTGCCTCTTTCCCCTCCCCACAGTCTGGCCTCTCCATTCCTATGGGAGGCTTTGCCCTGACCTTGGCTTTGTCCCCAGCTAAGATGGAGCAAGTCAGTGGAAAGTTCTGCTGGGGAGCATGTTCCAGGCCTGCCAGGGGCCGCCTTTACTTCCCACTTGCCTTGTCCCAATGGAAAGCAGACCTAGATCAGGGAGTAATGCCTTTCATGGAGGAAGCTGGATGTCTGGGAGGAAATCTGGGGTATGGAGGCAGGAGAGGCAGTTCTGCCTGTCCCTGCTAAAGTCCTGAGGCATGAATGGGTGCATTTCTACCTCCCCTTCCCTTCCCTAGCTTCCTATAAACAGAAAGGGAAAATAGCCAAAAGTCAGCTCCAAATTCCAGCTGACATGTTTGAAAAATTGACACTTGCCAGAAAATTGGTTCTTTAAACTAATTTTGTGTATAAAATCATCCCAGAGGATGATTGAGGGCAGGTTGGAGTACAAGACTTCACATGTGGGCTTCTTGTTCAGGGCTTGGGAAGTGGAGGAACAGAGGATTCTGTGAGTTTGTGGAAGGTACAGCACTTAGGGTGATAGCCCATGTCCCCTAAGACAGCACCAGGACAGGCTTCAGACTCAGCCCCAGACCTGAGCTTGTAGCCAGATGTGTGAAAATGTTGAAGATGGCCTTAAGAGGCTGTTCCAGCTGATTAGGTTACCAGGAATGTGGGCCAAGGCCAGAGGCCTTCTGACCTATGTAGACTCCAAATGAACAAATAATTTGTCTTAAAGGCCCAGTGGAGATGTAAGTTTTTATCTGTAGGAATAGTTGCCCTAGTGTATAGCCTTAATATCCCAGTTCTCTGTCCCCTGAGTGGCCCCCATACCTCAGGGTGAGGCCCGSGATGGATTGAGCAGGAGGCCTTAAGAGACTTATCTGTGCCCATGCTCCTCACATTCAGGACAGATCATGGCAAATGACAGAAGCCCTTAACTCCTTCCCCCAAAGGAAGATAAGGCTTACTCCAGCTCAGGGAACAAGGTTTCCCACCAGTTAAAGCCTCAAGTGGTGTGGCCAGGGTAAAGTAGGGCCATCTGGTCAGCATCTGCTCCTGATTTCTGCATCTGGGCTATGTTCTACTTATGACAGGAGGAAACTCAACTGAAGATGTGCCGAAAAGGGCTACTGGATAAACACAGCCCTTGGGCATCTTGTCATACTGCTTCATGCCAACCCTGGGTACCACAATGCTGGCTTGGAAGAAGACTGGGGAAAGATGGCCTAAGGCTGGCCAGCAGCCTAGTAGAACCTAGTAGGGACTGAGCCTCAATACCAGCATGCCCTTGAGTGGTTGTTCTATAAGTGCCTGAGCCCCGGAAGCTTTTGTGACCATTGGGAGCTCAGGATACTCTGCAGGCCCTTAATCTTCCCAGGGCCTGGGACTGACAAGGTTGTGGAGCAAAAGAGCATCCTAGGCCCTGAAGCTCTCCAGGCATGAGGCCTTAAGTCATGGTCCTCCGAGAGCCAGAGCCTTAAGGAAAGGACAGGGGAGGAGAGAGGAGCAAAGGGCTGAGGTCTCAGGAGGACATCTGCATTGGCACAGCCAGGGGCGCCATGTAGAAGGACAACTAGGGGACACTGACAGGCAAGAGGCAGGTTGGAAAGTAGCAAAGATCCACCTTGCTTCACATGGGTCTCAATGCCAAGGGGGAGATGCAACACTGAGCCCCCTTGGGCTACTAGTGTCTGTCCCCTGGGAGGCAGGCCAGGCACAGAGAAGCAACCACAGTAACAGGATACACACAGGCATATGCTCAGATGCCAATTCCTGTGCTTACACTAACCATGTGCCTGTATTCCCATCTCAGATCTGGTGCCTCCTGGGTGGACCCCGCAGATGCTTGTGATTGATACATAAATGTGCACAGAGACTCACACATATCCCAGAACAGATCCGTACTGAGAGATGAGGGTGCAGTCGGAGTCTTAGATTCAGGTAGACCCAGCTCCCAGTCCCGCTCCTCACTAGTTAGCTCTGTGAGTTTAGGCAGATTCCTCCATCTTTATAAGATTCCTTTCCTTTCCCTAAAAAGACATGCTGACACAATCTTTCCTAAGTTTAAATGAGATGGATTGCACAAGGAAACTGTAACAGAGCTTGGCAAGTCTGTCCTGGGGTCTGGGCCACACTTGCCCCCTGCAGTACTAATAAGATGGGTGCATTCAGGGAACTGAGTGGGACCCCCAGAGTCCCAGCACTGTCTTGTGTAAACTCCTGAGTCTCCTTTCCTGTCCTTAAAATGGGCACAGTTGTGGTCTTTGCCTCTCTGGCATGTTGTAGAGAACCAGAAAGACAAAGGGTGTGGAAGACACCAGAGCCTGATTGTGAAACACAGTCTATGGGTTCCTACAGTCCCTTTGGCTCCCATACACCCCACCCAATTGGTCAAGGCTCAGAAATGCCAGCAGAGGGCAGCCTTGTGGGGCCAGAGGGACCATCTGTGGTAAATCCACCCGCAGGGCGCTGTAGTTGAGCCCCCTTCCCTCAGCTGGCCCTGCACCATGGGGCCTGAACAGTTCTGTGGATGTGAAGACGCCTGTAGCCCTCCTCACCTAAACCAGGAAGAAAAAGGGCCACCCATGGAGGGAGATGCTTGTTTTGTTTTAACCCCCAAAATTCTAGTCTCAGGCTATTGGCTGATGAGTAGAGGCTGGTGGGGTGAAGGGGTTYGTTCGAGAGTGGGGGAGGGGAAGTAGCAATTGGGGAAACAGGTACTGCTGTTTCGGGGGAGCATGGAGTCAGACTGCAGTCACAGGGCAGGCTAAACCCGGCCTCTCTGTCTGAACCGAGTAGCTCCATTGCAGTCCCCAGCAGAGCCAGCCTTTATTCCCTCAATTATATTGATTGATTGGTGATAYTATATAATATGCTTCCAGAAAGGTAGGTATCTAGGTGCCTATCTTAGCTGCTCTCCAGAAACTTCCCTTCTCTTCTTTTTAAATAAGAACTGGGAAAAACATAGAGTGACCTCAGGGTGAGGAAGCTCTGACCTAAATCTAAGTCTGGAATGGGTAGCACAGCTAAGCCTGTGATCTCCGTCTTCCCTGGTGGGCAGCCAACCCTCGACCGAGTTCATGCTTGCCTTGTGCCCCTCATGGCCCTGGGCTGAGTGGGCCCTTTGCCCAGGGAGCCTCTTGATCCTTATTGGTCCCTTGAATTCTTTAGGAACAAGGTTGGCGAATGCAGTTGCCAGGTGTCACTGATGCTGCAGAACAGCCCTGCCGAAGAATCCCCACGGTGAGTGCCCCAGCAGTCTCAGGCCAGGCCCCAGCAGCCCCACACTGTTTGCATCCTCCAGCTGAGGCTGCCAGAACCAAAAGGAAGAGATTGGAAGGGAATGAGAGAGGGAGGGCAGAGGAAAGGAGGGGGCGATTTTTTTTTTTTTTTTGCACACACCCTTATAAGGCTACTGAAGTCATTACCGATGTAATAAACCAACTAAGCGAGCGAGTGCCTCTCACCAATGTTCCCTTCTATAAACACAGCCTGGCCGGCCCCCACCTCCCCTTCCCCCTCCTCTCTACCCTCCGCCCTCGGGGATTTGCTCTCCCCTGACGTCTCTGGCTCTCCCGGCCCCTTTTCCTCCTGCTACTTTTCTTTTTCCCTTCACTGGTTGCAGGGGGCAGGAGCCTGCCAGCTGTGAGGGCCTCTGTGGTAGAGGAGCTGGTGCTGATGGTGGTGGCGACCGTGATGGGACCCTGAGGCCCGACTGGCCTGGGAAAGGGCAGGATTGCCCAGAGGAGGAAGACTGTGAGGACGTGCGGGAGCTGCTGAAGAGGCGTGTGGAGACCCGGCTGCACACAGAGGAGGCCATCCGCCAGCAGGAGGTGGAGCAGCTGGATTTCCGCGACCTCCTGGGGAAGAAGGTGAGCACCAAGACTCTGTCGGAAGAAGACCTGAAGGAGATCCCAGCTGAGCAGATGGATTTCCGCGCCAACTTGCAGCGTCAGGTGAAGCCAAAGACTCTGTCCGAGGAAGAGAGGAAGGTGCACAGCCCCCAGCAGGTTGACTTCCGCTCTGTCCTGGCCAAGAAGGGGACTCCTAAGACCCCCGTGCCTGAGAAGGCACCACCTCCAAAACCTGCCACACCTGACTTTCGCTCGGTGCTGGGCAGCAAGAAGAAATTACCGGCAGAGAATGGCAGCAGCAGTGCCGAGTCCTCGAGTGCCAAGGCAGTGGAAAGTCCCCAGCCCGTGAGCAACGCACAGCCTGCAGGGTCCCTGAAACCCATGGGCAATGCCAAGCCTGCAGAGACCTTGAAACCTGTGAGCAATGCCAAGCCTGCCGAGACCCTGAAACCCGTGGGCAATGCCAAGCCTGCCGAGACCCTGAAACCAGCCAGGAAAGAAGAACTGAAGAAGGAGGTTAAGAACGATGTGAACTGCAAGAGAGGGGCCACAGACAATGAGAAAAGACCAGAGAGCCAAGGGACAGCCCCAACTTTCAAAGAGAAGCTACAAGATGTCCATGTGGCAGAGGGTGAAAAGCTGCTACTCCAGTGCCAGGTGTCCTCTGACCCCCCAGCCACCATCACCTGGACACTGAATGGAAAGACACTCAAGACCACCAAGTTCATCATCCTCTCCCAAGAAGGTAAATGAGGGTGGGGTCAGGGAAGACAGGGACCCTGTACCAGGGCCACTGTTGGCTCATGGAGCCTCTGTCTGGTTGATGATCACTCATAGCCCATAGCCTGAGTTGGAATGCCCAGTCCCTGTCCAACCTCATTTACAGGATAGGTTTTCTGCTCAGGGACCTTGGGTACATGCCCCTTGCTGAGCCATGACAGCTGGGTCTCTGATCCTTGTGGTGTAAGCCTATATCTTGGTGTCTTCTGGCAGAGTTATCTCATGACACCCCCACCCATGGTTCCCCAGAATTTAAGTGGGCCTGAGTGATGCCCAACAACCCAAGCATGGAGAAGGCTGTTTGTAGGCTGGGAGATGGGGTTGAAGGGACTCTGGGCTGTGGAAGCAGCAGAAGTTTTGGCCAGGGGAAGAGTATGCAGGGCAGCATAGTATGGGACTATGAATTGGGGTCAACAAAATCTTACATCTTGAGAGCATTGTGGGTTTGTAGGAACCTGTGTGGGAATTCAAAATCCCAGTGCAGCCCCAACAGCACATACACAGACAGAGCTGCTTGCTTCCTAATTTGGATGAGACGTTTGTTTGCTGGTATTTCACATTCTTGGGTGGTGGTGGGGGGGGGGTTGGCAAATCCTGCCATCTGTGGTCTTTTGGAGTCTGGAGTTCTCAGGTGGGCCACTTTATACCTAGAGAAGAGAAGGGCTGAGAGGAGGTTTCCCCCTGGCCCCTCAATTTGGTTGGAAGTGTTTTTATAAATCCCAAGCCTGGACAGGAGCTCAGAGGCCAGCAGATAGCCCACACCCCACTCTGGTGGCCAGCAGAGGAATAGGGTGCTTCCTGAGCTGAAAGATGCCACTGGGGGCTCTGGCCAAGGCAGAGCATGAAGAAGCTCCCCAGGAGGTGGATTTACCTCTGAAGGGCAGAGGGCAGCCACTGCAGAGGCCAAGTGGACAGTCCCAGCAAATGCAGGTTGGTGGAGACAGCAGAACGCTCTTCCCTCTGCTCTCTTGGGGCTATCCTCTGGTCACACCCCTCTCCACCTATCCCTTACCCCTCATCCCACTATATGCCTCCCACTTTCAGCTTGGGAGGAAGTATTTGAATTAGCAACGTTCCTGTTGCTCATTCTGCATCTCAGACAGCAAATTTGGAACAGCCAAGCATGTTGAATCTAATGGCTGAAGGGGAAATTGGAAATTTCTGTCAACAGAGAGAAACCTGTTGTATTTTGCAAACATGTTCACACAGTAATTTTTTCTCATGGATGTCCTCAGATGGTCAGAGTCCTCCAAAAGGCATCTTCTCCATCTCCCAGCCTCTGCTAGCTCAGCCTCTGTGATATCCACACTCAGGTGGTCATGGGGGATCGCTAGGCTGGGGCAAACATATACACATCCAGGGGAGTGGATTCCACAGCCTTCCCTATGCCCACTGGGGACCTCCCCATTGGAAAACTCTTGKTCAAACTGATTGGAAAACTTAACCAGGAGCATTTCCTGGTTACCCTGTAGTAATCTTTCTGGGTAGGATGGAAGATGGGTAGCCATCACCCTTGGAACATCTGCGGTGACATGTGTGGTATGACTGCCCCAGCCTTGGTGAAAGATTCAGACAATGGCAGGGAGGGCAGGTGGCGAGGGGCGGGGGAGGAGGGCAATGCCCAAAGCCACTTAGCCCTGGGACCTGTGTGGAGTTTAAACGCAGAGCCACCACTGGGTTCAGTGGCTGCTTATAAACAATGTTTTAACTAAGAAGTGTGAGGTGGACCCCTGCCTTGACCTCAGAAAYACTCCTGAGCCATTAGCCACTGGCTTCCCACACCCTGACTGCCTGGAGTAAGTTTAGTCTGCTGGTCACTGGTTGTTAAAGAGCATAGAGACACCAGTTACTCCAGCATCGCCTCCCACAGAATCTGCCCCAAAGGCAATAGTTGGGTCCAGAGTGGCAGTAGCAGAAGTTACTAAAAAATCCACCACAAGTAGAGACTAGGAGGGGTAGGAGGGGATCACAGAGATAATCCTGAACTTTAAACAATATTCTTATTATTTTAAAATGAGAATAGCTTGCATCAGTTGAACACCAGATACTGTCCTAGGCATCTTAACATTTCCCATTCACTTAGTCCTCACAACCACTATGATGTCCCTCTAACACAAGTTAGCACCTTGCCCAATGCTGCACAGCTCCTAAGTAACAGCTGGGACTGAACTCATGTAGTTGCATTCCCATGCCTAGACAATAAAAAAAAAAAAAACGGGGGGGGGTGTGTGGCTCAGCGTGTGTGAGGCCCTGAGTCCCACATAATTGGGGGCTGGGGGATGATGTCCCCTGTGCTTGCCAAGTCTCTGGTATTTTCCCTACAGTGGTGGGAGTAGACCTTGAAAAGGGCCTGTCTTGCCACAGGGAGGGTGCCTTGTCTCAAAATAATCCTGCCCCTGTCCCTTCACTCAGCAGTTCCGTAAGAGCCCCTGTTTTGTTGGGGGCAAGTGTGCCTCAAGGATTCAGCAGTTGCCACTGTTACAGGCCCTACTGCAGGAGAGGACCTGTTGTCAGTGGATCTGGAGAGGGAACTCGGGCTCACAATGATAAAACTGTTGGAGCCAATTACCCAAAGTGTGTCTGGAGGAACAGGAGCTGAGTGCCAGGGCCACAGGGAAAGGGCCTTGGGAAAGCCCTGGGCATCCATCTGAGCCCTGAAGTCACCAGACAGGCAGCGGGGAATTGGCAGGGGGCCTATGGMAGCAGAGGAAGGCTCCTAGCCCATATGGGCTGGAGAAGGTGGTTTGTCCCCAATTTCTTCCTATCTCGTGCCAAGGAGCTCAAGTTTCAAAGCAAAAGGGAGTTTTGTGCAAGATTCTGGAATGAGGAACTTTGTGCACWAAGCTGGTTTTAGGGGTTTGGCTGTCTCCATGAACAAATGACAGGCATGGAACCTGCTGAAGGAGTCAGGGAGAAGGGTGGTGAGGCCTGGAYCAGCACAGTAGCCATGGCCATAGACAGGAAAGAACCAGTTCAAGAAGCAAGAGAACCTGTCACCTGGCTTGGCAGGCAGGTTGGGGGCAGGCTAGGTGGGCAAGAGGAAGGAGTGGCAGACCACTGAGGGGGTGTCTGGGCCACAGGTATCAGTGGAAATAAGGAAGTTGATGGTTTGAGGTGGTTCATGGAGGAGGAAGAAGGGATTGACTACGCCCATCTCCCCAAGACTATGCCATCTCCCCAACCTTCCCACCCCTCCGCACCTCCCTGCCCCATCCCCTGGCTATGAACACTACTTACCCTACTGCATTGGCCTCCAATCCTGTCATCTCTTCTATCAAGACTCACCACCTCTGGATGTTTCCTCAGACCTCTGTAACCATTTCAGCCAAGAAAGATTTGCCCTCTGTCCTCCTTCATCCGCCTGTGTATCTGATAATACCAGCTGCTACAGGACACTGTTTATAGGCTTCAGGGGCTTCTCTGATGTCTTTAGCTTGGATCAGCCTCAGAACCTGTGGATCCCCCAAACAGAATTACATCCACCCCATTTAGGCCYGAGAAAATCCTGAGAAGAGGTTTGACAGCCATTGGTTGCAGTTCACTATGAGTTAATACTAGGAGGGACAGTCATGTACAAGTGTCCTTCCTCCTCCTGCATCTCCAGAACTGCAGGATGCTACCAGCTGGGTTTGCCCCCCAGAGACAGGCATCCAGGCCCCCCTTTCTAGAACTGTCTTGGATGCAAGGCGGGARGCAAAGGCCTGTGAGCCCAGAGCAGGGCTGCTGTGGCCCTGAAAAGTGCTTTTATCTTCATGGTTTGCTTGCTGTCTCCCAGCCAGGCTTCCCCCTCAGAGCATTTCTCCCAGTCTAATAATGAGGGCTCATTTTTGTTGCTGTTATCAAGAGATGATTCATTTTTAATTGCCTTCCAGGCAGAATCTCATGCAGGCTTTTTTTTTTTTCTTTTTCAAACTGTGAAAGTCCATCCTATAAAAGGTAGAATTCTGAAGCACCTACTCTGTGCAAGGCCTTGTTCTAGTCCCTACTGTCGTATGTATAATCCACTCAGTGCTGACTTAGGAACTTTTTTCCTTCTAGAAATTAGTTACCTTGTTCAGCCATAGATTATATTTGTGTGTGTGTGTGTGTGTGTGTGTGTGTGTGTATGTGTGTGTGTGTGTTTGCATAGATCCTGCCAGATCACCTGCTACAGAAATGCACCTTTGTCATTCTCAGGATGGCATTTTTTTTTATTGCAACTGCATTCCAGGCTCAGGAAAAGCATTCCTGACAGACATTGTCACTCCCCTCAGAGCTTGTATGGGAGACAGCTGTGTTTCTGCAATGGCCTTAAGAGAGGTGCTTTGGCAATAACAAGCTCAGGGTAACTTGGGAGCAGAGAAGAGAGATACTTAGGGCTGGAGGCATAGGGGTGACAAGGAGGGCACCATACCTGAGGAGGTGACCTGGAGGTAAGTCATACTACTGGTCTGGGCCTTTCAGGGAGACCAGGTCAGGGAGGCCCTGCTGACTAGCGCAGCCTCCTAGCAGAGCCTTCAGCACTTCAGACTGCTCCCTGCCCTCATCTCTGTCCCTGTCCTTGTTCTCCTCTCTGCCCACCCATTCAAGACAGGAGAGAACTGAGGGAACTTCAAACCCAGAGCTTGACTCCCTGGCCAGGAGGGTCTCTCCCAGGCAGGGCTCTTGCTGAGTTGCTCAGTAGATTCCTGCTCCTGACCTCTCCCTTCCCCCTTCTCAAAATTCCCCACCAGGCTGAGGCTTCTGAAAAAAAAAAAATGCTGGGAAACAGTTTTCTTCTGGAGGTCAGGAATGAGCTGTCCCACAGGAAATACCAGATTCTTCATCTGGGGTAGCCAGCCTCCCAGCCTGCCTGGCTCTCCCCCAGCCCACGCACGTGGCCGGGATCAGTTCTGGGGCTCGAAAGAGTTGGGGCGGAGGGGCAGGGCCATGTCCAAGTGCTCCGCTGCCCTCCCAGTTGGGCCGTTGGCTCATGACTGTCTACAGTGTGTCTAACTTTGGTTTAAGGCTGAGGGCAGCTGGAGACTGAAACTGAAAGAAAACCAAGGATTCAACAGAGTTCTGTTCTCAGAGGCTCAGCCCAGACTGAGGGGAAATTCCCAGGTGGGGTTGGTTTCTGAGGGATCAGAGGTCGTCTTAGTATCCTCCTGCCCATATTCAGTTGAATGGAAAGTGTTCTCTCTCTAGAACATGGTTATCCTCATTCCCCTATTCCTGTGCCTCATGGTTCTCGTTCTCAAACCAGACTGTGTAAAGATCCAACCTAAATCCTTTTTACTGCAGTTTCTGCAGGTTATCTTCTCAACACAGTGGGAAGAGACCAGGACCCGTTGCCCTCTGCCATGGAGGACAGAGTGAGGCCTTTCCAAGAGTTAGGGTCTGTGAAAGGGTATAGGAGGTTTGGCACATAGATCGGCCTGCCATCCTGCCCCAGGAAAATGTTAGGCCCTAACTTTCTCCTCTAGCCTGAATGAGGTTCTCTGGTCAGCACTGATGTCATCCTTCCTTCCTCTGGGGGCCTTAGCATTTTTTTTGGTCAGGTCTGTGCCTACATGTAAACGTGGAAGTGGGACTTGTAGCTGAGATCTGAAGGCCCTTTAGGAATGGTGCCCACCGGCTTCCCTTCCAGTATTTCTCCCCRACTCCTGGCCACATACACCCAGAATGCACACAGCTCTGTCCATTGGTACCAATGGCTCATGGGAGCTGGGGGTGGGTGACTCTAGGCAACAGGATTACCATGGCTCTGGCTCTGTCCTTCTCCTCATATGTGAGCCTGAAGGCAAGAACTAGGGTACTGCTACCTCCCGCCTGACCAACAGGCCTGGTCCTCAGCTGCTCTCTCCCTACACCCAGARGGAAACTAAAGGAGGGGCCTCCAGAGGAGACGTGACCAGCCCTGGGATGAGAGAACTAGGCCCCAAGAGGTGGGTCGGGGCAAGAATAGACCCAAGTGAGGAGAGTAGGAAAGGAGGCCATTTTCACCCCCCTCTGAGGTGACCAGAAGCCCCAACATTAAAGGGAGGCAACCCCAAGTGCTCCCACTGTCCAGTGCTCCTCATTGGTCATGATTCTCTAGACCCCATTTCTGAAAAGCCAGTGCCAAGGCCCCAGGTCACAGTCACCTCTTCAACCCAACAGAGCTTCCCACAGGCCAGTGTCCTTGCAGAACAAGGATTCCAGCCCTCCCACAMCCACTTCTTTTCAAAATTCCCTTTCCTAAGAGTGATTTCGCAAAGTCACTCTGTAAGCTTGGCAGAGCCCCCTTCCCTGCCGTTGGGTGCAGTAGAGCTCTGCAGCCTGGGCCTGAGTCCTTACCCCTCTTGGTGAGGGGCCTCATCCAGCTATTTCCTCTGCTATATCCATGCTTTCCAGAGACAGAGGCTATTTCTCTTCCCCCTGTCCTTTTGTATTATGTCTCTGTAAAAGGACTCTCTGGAGTGGAGGAGGGGTGCCTGGAGGAGTGTATTAGGACTCCGCTTCATTGTGTAGTTTATCAGCAGAGACTTCCCTGGCCTCCATGAGGAGAGGSATCACTTCCCCAGGGCCTCTCGTCTGGGCTCCCAGGGGCTGCTATGTAAGGACACTCTGCCATGCTTCAGATGCCAGGACAGGTACTAAGAAACTGCCTGGTGCATTCAACAGTTCTCTCTGTTCCCCCAGGCTCACTCTGTTCCGTCTCCATCGAGAAGGCGCTGCCCGAGGACAGAGGCCTATACAAGTGTGTAGCCAAGAATGGTGCCGGCCAGGCGGAGTGCTCCTGCCAAGTCACCGTGGAAGGTAGGTCATGCCCCACCCATGCTATCACATATCCAGGGTCCCATCTCTCATACCCTCCCACATCTGAACTGAACTGCCCCCAACTGTCTTTACCTCTACCTGGGCATTCATTTGGTAGGTGCCAAACTACCCTTTTACAAAAGCAAGACAGAAATGAAAGTGCCAGTCCCACTCGATTACCCATGTGGCCACTTTCTATGCCCCTGCCAGGAGGAGGGGCTGTTCACCCTCTCCTACCCTCCTTGTCCTAATCCCCCACACCCAGAACCTTCTGCAGGGAATCCGGGCACAAGGGCACCAAGCAGGAGAAAGGACACACCCACAGGAAAATGACTATAACTATTTTACAAGCCACAGCAAACAAGTGTGAGTGCTGGCGGCACAGAGCTGGCGTGGGTCCTGGGAACGTGAGGAGGGAGCTAGATGTGGGGAGCCATCCTGGAGGAGGTGAGTCGGGCTGAGTCTTCGGGTAGAGAGGACAGGGCCACCTCTGCCAAAAGAAAAGGGTAATAGCAACACAGCAGAAGGAGAGGGGGCATGGGAGAAAGAGCAGACCTTTCAGGTCTGAGTGGAATTTCCCTCTTGGGAAGGGACAAGGCCTCACTGTGAGGCTTGGGATTTGTCCTAAAGAAATGCAGGAAGTATGCATTTATGACTCTTTTCTTCCTGGGRTGAGGAATGTAAAATTAGAGACTTGAAAGTAGAATGGACCTCATGATAGTTTAGACAAACACCATTATCATTGTTGCTGTTGTTGTTGTTGTTGTGAGGATACTGGGGATGGAACCCAGGGCCTCACACATGCTAGGAAAATTCTCTACCACTGAGTTACACCCTCATTTGACAGATGAGAAAATTGAGGCCATTCAGAGAGGAAGGCTTTCCAGTCACAGTAGGGCTGGGCCAGGGCAGAACCCCATCTCAAGGATTCCCTATCCAGTTCCCTTTCTTTGTATTTTGGGACTTGCCTGGAAATGTCTAAAAAGGTAGTTTTGGGAAAACAGTTCCTTGCCCTTGAAATGCCTGGTTAATAACCATCAGTGACATGTCAAAAAATAGTGTCCAAATAAGGCATCTCGAAGAACAGCTTTGTTGTTCTGGCTCCTGAGTGGATCACTTGAGTCCTCAGATCCTAACCCATTTCTCCGCCATCCCACAAAATGTGGAATCTTAGTCCTCATTCTGGATTTCATAATCCGATTTCCTGATCACAAAACTGAGCYGTAAGTAATGAACGGGAGAAAGGAAGAAAGGTCTTATAAAGAAAAGCCTCCTAAAAACACACAGTGGTGATGTGAATCACATTGTTAATAGCCAAAAAGGTGAGCTAAAACCGTCCTCTTAGACTTCTGGTAATGTCCTTTTCTCACCCTAGTGAGAAAGCAGATCTGAAAAAGCAGATCTGATGGGGCAGAGTTCATGGTCAGCTGGGAGCAGGCTTATGACACATGCTTTGAGACTCTGTGCCAGCCAGAGGCTGCTACTTTCTCCTGTGTGTCTCTCCTCACTTGGGCTGTCACCACCCAGGTCAGAGTCCCACTCCCAGGTGCCAGTTGTAGCCTTCCTGGAAACTTGACSCCGGAACCTGATTTCTAACAGCCCCTCTCCTCACTTGGGACTCTGGCTGATTCCCCCTAATCTATTAGGAAACCAACCTGCTAATGAGGTTGTCTGCTTTGGGAACTCCTGGCCTCTCTAATTCCTATGTACATGACTGACTGCAGGCAGGAGAGCAATCCATTCTCCTTATCTGTAAAATGTCAGCACCTTTTCCAGATTTGTTTGCAAAATAAAATTTCCTTTTTTTTYCCTACAGAATGTACTTGGGAATCTTTTTTTATTTTTTTAAGGACATTCATTCTGCAACTTAAGGGGCCTTTTTCACACTGAGGATGACTGGAAGAGTCTGTTACAATCCCCACTAATCTTGATGACCCCCACCATTTATCTTTGGTTCCCTTAAAGGCAGAGGTCAGGCCCCTAGTTGCAAACTAGGAGCTGGATCTTAGCARAAGACTGGGAATAAGTTAGGAGAAAGACCAGCTGAGATAACACACCAACTCYCAGCTAATTAGGTTTTGTTTGGTTTGGTTTTCAGAGAGAAAAACAGGCAACCCTCTTCATCCTCTCCCTTCCTTCTTCTTACCCTTGCAGCTACATCTGTGCTAGACACCCTGTATAAACTCCTGCCTTCATTGTGTCCCTTCCTCTCACTGTCCGCATTCCCTAGGGCATGACATTCAGGTCCCAMTGGGTCTGAGTACCCTTTGAAATTGCAGGCAAAACTTGGGGTGTATATGAGCTTAAGCATCTTTCTGAAAAGAGGGGTCTGTAGTTTTTAGTCCAGTTGTTAACGGGAGTCATGAATGACACTGGGTTGAAGGGACTCCCCGCCCTAAGAGGGAACCATGTTTGAGTTCACAACCCAGGCCCTGGGTGGGCCCCCAAGTTCTCTCTCTCTGCAGCTGCCTGCCTGACCTCTGGACAGAACTAGTCATTGAAGGGCAGTGAGGTCCCTCTTCACTGTGCTAACTTCAGCTTGGCTTCCTTCTGTCACTTAGCAGGGCTGATCATACCCCCTGAAAGTCACTTACTGTCATTTAGCCTGTGCCCAACACCATTAAGACCATGTGTCTATARCCAATAAGATGATATATTTCAAGATCTCATCAAAAGGAGCCCAATAGGCTGGGTGTGGTGCACACGTCTGTAATCCCAGTGATTTGGGAGGCTGAGGCAGGAGGATTGTGAGTTTAAAGCCAGCCTCAGCAACTTAGTGAGGCCCTAAGTAACTCAGCAACACCCTTTCTCTAAATAAAATACAAAAAGGGCTGGAGATGTGGCTCAGTAGTTAAGTGCCCTTGGGTTCATCCCTAGTACCAAAAAAMCAAAACAAAACAAAAMAAAAAACCGAGTTTTGTGTCAGCCACRTGTCTTTTTCTCCTGTACATAGTATAAGGGAGGTGACCTGATAATACAGCATATCTGACAGCTTTAGTCCTGCTGTTTGGGTCTTTCTCTTGTGTGACAGAGTGTTTGGGCACTTTCTTGGTTATGATCATATCACCCTTCCTTCCAAATAYGCGGAAGGCAAGTGTCAATTTGTCCCCACACAAGAGAACTAAGCCTAGAGTGGGTAAAGACTTTCCAGAAAACTTGTCCAGRAGGAGAAAAAACTGGCCTTCCGTGGCCACCATGGCCAGAGACTCTGTCATATTTTGGATTTTCTGGTTACCCAATAGTGGACAAGCTTTCCTCCATTAGCAAACAGACTTAGCCTGGGTGGACAGCCTTCCCAGGTCACACAGACAGGTGTCTAGATCCAAGAGGACCCCCACTCCAGCAGTAAGCTACTTCCCAGACCACCACGGCAGGACTCAAGTGTGTCTGGTCTGCACTTCCCCCTGACCTGCCAGCCCCCCGTACAGTGAGTTACCATGGCAGAGCCCCCGGCCTCCTTCATTACCAGCCCTCTCTGTTGGGAAGTCCTTCTGTACATGGGACTAAGTAACTCATTTTCTGTGATCCAGACCCAGATGAGAGGTGAAGTCCTTCTTAAGCCAGCATCCCAGGACAGGAGTCAGAAGGCACCTCAGCCCCTCACGGGCTCCTGCAGTCCTTCCCAACTCAGGCCTCCCTTCTTCAGTTGCCCCCAAGGCAACCCAGCCTTAGCTTCAGTGAGAGAGGGGCTTTGTGACCACAGAGGGTCACCCATGTTTGTGTAGGTGCTCCAACGGGCACCTGTGCCATCACTCATTCATTCAACAAAGAGTTGTGTGCCCGCCATGCCAGGCTCTCCTCCAGGATTGGGCATTAGCAGCAGTAAACACAGCAGAACAAGTGCTTGCTCTCAGCACTTGACCTTCTATTGGGAGTAAGCAATAGTGCAGAGGAAGAGACATGTCATTACTTCAGGCAATGCTGCCTGCTGTGGAGAAGGCCCRGCGGGGCAAGTGGGAGGGGGTGCTGTTCAGAGATGGGGGTTATTGAGCCCTCTTGAGGAAGGAACTTTTGAACAGAGACCTCCAGGAAGTTAGAGAAGGAGTCCCTGAAGTAAGAGAAAAGAGGTGACAGTGAGACTATGTTTGTCCTCCCCAGGAAAAGGAAGCAACCAGGCTGATGGGGCCGGGAGCAAGGGACTGTGTGATGGGAGTGAGGCTGCAGAGGGCAGATGCCCACTCTGCAAGGCTGTGTGGGCTTCAACGAGGAAGCCGGATTTTATTCTGAGTGACATGGGACAATTCTGGACATTTGTAAAGGATCACTCAGGGCCCTGTGTGGGGTGACCAGACCCAAAACAGATACAGAGGAGAGCAGGGAGATCCGATGGCAGGAGACAGTGGCATATAGGCTCAGTGAAAGTGACAAGTAATGATTGGATTCATAAATCTAGTTTGATGTAGAGCTGATAAGACTCACTGATGAGTTGGATATGGAGACAGAAAGGGGAGGCACAGGGCGCCCCCTCCTTGCTGCGTGAAAGTCTTAGTTTCCATGGAAGAGTGAGGATCAATGGCAGTGCCAGCYTACTAAAGTCAGAATGTGCAGGTTGGAGGGACAATCAAGAGTTTTGTGCATGTGAAGTTGGAGATGCCCATTGGGCAGCCCAAGGAAACATGTGACATAGACAGGCATCTAGATAAATCTGAAGCTGGGGAGGGAGATCAGGGAATGGGGATCCATCCACATGTAGAGGCCATCAAATGCCCTGGAATTGACAGAGGTCCCCAGGGGTGGATGTGGATGGAGATGGGACAAAGGCGAGAGGTAGAGTCCAACATTGAGAAGCAGGGAGAGGACAAGAGTCCACAAAAGAATGGTCTCGGGGAGAAAAWATCCAGGAGAGGGAGTGTCCCAGATCCTAAATGATGAGAATCTGAGGAAGGAAAGAATGAAGGATCAARTGTTGGATGCTACTGCTGAGTAGAGGGGAGCCTGAGCATTGGTCACTAGATAGGGCAACCTGGAGATCATCGGTGACCTTGACAAGAAGGTTAAAGGGCAGTGATAGCAACAACAGCCTATTTGAGACAGAGAGCAAGTCACCTGCTCAAGTTCACCTTGACTAATTGGGAATCTAATCCCAAGACTTGGCTGCTAAGCACTGCAGCCCACTGCCCCCAGGACCATTGGCACTGCTGTTTGTCACTGAGTTGGACCCAGCCTTCGTTGGCTTCAGTCCTTCTATATATATTCTCCACTCCACTCCCACTTTCACATTGATTCTTTAAGTTGTCACAGGCAGTTAATGGGTATTAGGTTCAACTAAATAGAATTGCTATTTTTTAGGTCAAAAGTAACTAAGTATTGGGGAATGGTGTGGTTCCGCCCTGGGTGAGCACATAAAGCACTTCAGCAGAGCACATGTGTGGAACAAGGACCCAGTAAATGTCACCTGTTATTTTGTAACTCACTCCTCCGTCCCTCTTCTGTTGAGTTGGTGTTATTCCCATTTTTCCAATGAGGAAGATCAGCCTCAGAAAAGTTCAGGAACTTCCCCAACGACTCACTAAACCTCAGAGCCAGAAAAGAGCTCAAGTTCCCAACTAGAAAGCGCTGTCCTTTCAGCTAGCAAGCTGCTTGGTCTTTGGCAGAAAGAGAGGCCATCGAGGAAGAATGGACGACCTCCTGGGAGAGGCTGGAGCCCAGCCCCTCTGCTCTGCCCCCTCATGGGTCTCTTGGAAGCTCAGACCCACTCTCAGAAGCTTCCCAAGACCTCATTCCTCTGCCTAGGGCCAGAGCCCAGGGACCCAACCTCTTTGGGAGAAACAAAAGAAAAAATGCCAAATGTCCCCTTGAGGGTTTGAGTCCAGAATGAGCCCAGGAGTGGAAAGGGTGAGGCATTGTCCGTATAAGGACAAGTTTCCCTCTCTCTGTCAAGGYCCCCCACTTCCCCACACCTCCATCTTCCCTCTGCACACTCCTTGGGGTGCACACCAGGCCAGCAAAGGACTCTAGCCCTGAGGCCCAGATCTAGAAATGAAGTTCAGTTTCATCACAAAATAGATTAAAATAGACAGAAAAGACAGGCTGCTCTTAAACTTTTATTACTATTATTTTTATCCCCTGGACAGCCATGTGAGCACAAAGCTGGTTTTGATTAAGCGTGTGGTCCTTCCAGCCCACTCCTCCCGCGGTTCTCATGGAGGAGGCGTAGTGGTTCAGCATCCCTGCCTGRGGCCCCTGGTGCATGCACAGCCCCCACAGTGTTGGCACTTTAGGAGGGACGGGGCTCCAGGCCTAGAGTATGCTTGGTTTGAAATGGAAACTCGAGCCCTTTTCCTCATGGCCAGACTGAAAGATAAAGTGCAGTGAAACTTCTTAAAACAAGGCTCAAAGCACATCCAGTGTGGTTACTCACACATCTGGGGGGCCTGCAGCACCCTAGAGCAGAGGACAGTGCAGGAATGATAGGGGCTGGTGCAGGGATTCTGAAGGTAGAAAATGTTAAAGTCAACTCGGAGGAGTGAGAGATCGTGGTTAGCAGGAAGAGTGAGCTCACTTAGGCAAAAGACCCTTCTTGGTCTCCAGAGCCCCATTKCGTGCATTCTGTCCTTTGGGACTTGGGCCACTGTGGGGTAGAGAAAACAAGAGTCATTCCCTTTGAACAGATAAGAAAACAGAGACATGGGACAGTTTAAGTGACTTGCCCATGTTCTTGAGATTGCTGATGACAAWGCCACAACTAGAACTGTCCTCTCTTCATCCTTCTGTGATGGGTGCTTGAAAGTAAAGCCCAGCACATCCCTCCTTTCAGAAGCCCAGGAAAACTGGGCCTCTCCTTCTTTACTTGCTTCTACTCAGTTTTCCCACCTGTGGGTGGTGGGGAAACCAGTCCTTCTTTCTCTGCCTTCTCTATGCTCTGGGACTCACCAGGAGAAAGAGAGATCTGAACCAAGGAATGCAGAACTTTGTGCACATCCCCACCTCCACTCCTCCTCTGGGAAAAGGGCAAAGAGAAATTTCTGCATGTACTTTCTTTCAAGTCCTAGGGGCACTTTCTCTTCCTCTACCCAGCTCCACATGGAATTGGTGCCCTGGGTATGGGCAGCTCCCTAAGATCCTGGTGGCATTGGCTATGGATGGCAAAGACCTTCCACCATCTGGTGCTCCTTTGCACTTCTGGACTGAGGTGGGATTAGGGTGACATGCCATGGGGGCAGGTTAGGGGCTGGGTTATCAAGCACTGCTTCAAAGGATCTCTTCCACTCTTGTCCCTTTATCCCCATCTCCTGCTATAGATCGATAGAAAGTCCTACTTACGATTCAGTCATTCCCACAGTTCCATGTATATGGMTTTTGCCCTTTTTCAATGGGGAGCCCCCCATCTCCGGCCCAGCCCAGAGACCTCTGAACTGCTCTAGGGTGCTGCAGGCCCCCCAGATGTGTGCAAGGTGCCTCTGTTACAGGATTACCGTGTCCCATCCCCATTGTGTCTGATTTAGCTGCTGCAGCAATGTTTCACCATCCCTGCCTTGGGGAGGGATAGCAGAAGCCCCCAAGTGGGTCCTCGCCTCAGGAGGTGGGAAGGGAGGCTGACTAGTGTTAAGTCTCAGAAATGATGCTGTGTGAGAAGGCTAGCATGGGCAGCTCCACTTCTAGAGCAGGCAGGGACCCAGATGCTATGTAGAAAGAGACATGCCTCYAGGTGAGAGCTCAGAGAGCCCATGAGACAGGAAGGATATGTCCCTGGCCCCTTCACTCTGTGCTCCTGGTTCCCACCCCAGAGCCCAGATGAGGTAAGATCAGCCAGGGCTGCCATCCTGAAAGGGAGGGGAACAAGATAGCCCTTCCTCCCCAGCCAGGCCACAGGAAGTGGCCAAAGCCTCTGGAAAGTGCCCCACCCTCCTTCCTCCCTCTGAGTTTCCTCTTCTCCCAAGCAGGAAAAGGAGGATAGGAAGGGGGTTCAGAGAGCTGCCCACCCAACCTGTCCCCAAAAAGTGTTCCTTGTAGGGAAAGGAAGGCCAGAGAGCATGGTGACATTGATTCAGCAAGTATTTCTTATCTGAGTCCTAGATGGTTTCCCCACAACTTTGTAAAGTCCATTCTCCTGGGGGCCCAGTGGGGGCTTTTTCTGCCCAGCCCCACCCAGCCAGAGTGAAGAGTCCCTGCTGCCGGACAAGGGAGGGTTCCTCAGGCATTATCTGGGCTAYGCCTTAGCATGGGAGAAGGAGCCTGGAGCAGAGGCCTGAGGAGCAGCACCGTCCCCATCCCCATCGAGTCTGATTTAGCTGCTGCAGCAATGTTTCACCATCCCTGCCTTGGGGAAGGTTAGCAGAAGCCCCCAAGTGGGTCCTCGCTTCAGTCTCAGGGGAGAGGCAMGCTAGCTGCCTGCTCTGAGGTCTTTATCTGGTCTGTTATGGGCCAAATGCAACAGCATGTCTGAAAAAATCAGAGACTGACCGCCAGCCCTCCGGACCGGGAGCCACGTCCTCTCCTTCCTCTGTGTGAGACCTCTTTTTGAAAGTGTTTTTGGAAGTCCGGAACATTCAGCTGAGTGAGTCAAGGCCCAAGGAAGGAAAAGATGGGGGAGCTGAGCCAGAGGGCAGGACGGCCACAGCCTGGACAGCAGCGGTATTTCTGTCAGCCTGTGCAGAGGGGAGTACTAACCAGCTCCCAGTAGCCTATCCATCCATCTTGCCAGGGTGACTGTCCTACCACCTGATTTATCAGCCATGGCGGCCTTTCCTTCTTTGGTGCCAGTGGAGGGAGGGCCGGCCCAGCAGGCGCCGAGGGCCTCCCAAGGAATGCAGGATGGGTGGGCCATACGAGGCTTGAGGTGGGATCCTGACTGAGGTGCCTCCTCTGTTCATCTCCTTGGACAGCCGCCCAGTGATGTTTGTGTTCCCTGTTTTGTTCCAGATGCTCCAGACACTAAGAACACCAAGGCCCCGGAGATGAAATCCCGGAGGCCCAGGGGCCCTCTTCTCCCTCTGCTAGGAACGGAGAGTGAGTATTGGCTCTGCTTTGCCTCGCAAAGTCAGGGACACCCAGGACTGGGGGGGTGGGGGTGGGGGGTAGACGGGTGTCAGAGCCTCTGTCTCCTGAGCATCCCTCTGGCTTGAGTGTCTCCAGGTCTGGCTTCTGCCCATATGCCACAGTACCCGGTGACCTCCTCGTGACCTTTTCTCATTCCCTCCTTCCCCCACAACCTGTCCACCACCTGTGCACATCTCTGTCCCCCTCAACATCACTCATACTCTTTTTACTTTGTTACTGAGCCCCACCCCCACTCCCTGCAAGAGCRAATCACTCCTCAATTGACTCTGCTTTGCCAGGGAACCTCTCTAAATTGTAATCATTCCCAACTGAAATACCAGTGGTCCCCAGCACCTGTGAAATCCCATACAAGTGAACTTTTTGCATGATCATGCCTAGACATAACTATTGTGCCTGTGTACATGTGGTCCCTTATGTCCTGGCTGCCACCTCTCTCCCAGCTCTGCCCCTCACTCTCTCACTCCTATTTTGTATTCAAGCCAGACTGAGCTCCTCCCTGAACCATAGCCATCCCCTGAGGTCCTCGACCAGTATGCCTGTGCTCTGGCACCTCTCTCCATGGGCAACCTTTCTGACAAACTCTCACTGCAAAACCAGATCAGCCGCGAGTTCTTCCTCCTTTTACCTCAAAGTAACTCTCTGGGAGCTCAGAGCATTGGCAGCTCCCTCATCCACCCACTGTCTCCTTACCAAGCATGGAAACAGGTCCTTCTCTCATGGCACCTTCCTTTAGGGCCTAGCATGAGCCTCAGAATGGCACATGCTATGCCTTGCTCTTGGAGGACCCTCCCTGGTGTCTCTCAGAGTCAAACTGCAGAGTGACATAAATATGCAGGGATGAAAGGAGCTTCTCCATCACCCAGGCTATAGATAGTTACACCTTCCTTTTGGACCTTGATTCCCCCAGGGCCTACCCACCCATTTGGCATGGTGCCGAGCGCACACACTGCTTTACAGGCCCACAAAAATGTGCTGTCCTATAAAATTAGAAGAAAAAAAATGAACTGTTCAAAGACAATGTTTTGAATTCACAATATTAATATATTCATCCTTTATGCCAGAGAAATTGTGAACTATAATTTATATAATTAAAATATAATATTTATAATATTCAATTAAATATGTATTAAGGAGGAAGGAGCCCATGAAGGCAAAAGTCATAGAGCAGCCCTGGCTTCTACAGTCATTATTAGTATAGTTTCATTAGCAGAACTATCCTTTGAAACCTCCAGTTTTAGCAGGATGCAGGTTACTTGGGCAGCCCCAACACACTGTTTTAAAACAAATAGCAGACAAGTCAGGTTCTTACCTGGACAAATAGAGGAAAGTAATCATCCTGACGACACAGAAGACCACTTCTCTTTTTCCATTATGTAGCCATGTTTATGACTTTCACCTTACTCTCCTCTTTCTTCCTCTCTCCCCCCTCCCTCCCTCCATTCCTTCCTTCCTTCTTTCCTTCTTTTGKTAAGCAATGTGTTCACCTTYCTGATGATGCATTTGGGTTCCCTGAACACAAGCCTGGGGGGGGGGGGTGTCAGACTTCAGTATGGTGGGGCAGCCAAAGGGAGAAGATATTTACCCAAAGTGGGGAAGTAATCCCCAAGAATAGTGGAGGGACCACTATCAAGAAGCTTCAAAGATCAAGAGTGGACATTAAATAAGTTATTGGAAGCGCAGAAAAAACAACCTAAGAAGAACCTAGTAGGGATGGGATAATAGTTATTCTTTCCAAATATTTTCTGGGACCATGCCATGTTCAATATTGGGAAATGAAAGCAGATGAGATGTTGTCCCGAAAAGAACGCCAGGACTGTGACTCGGGTGACATGTGGTAGTTCACTTCTCAAGGGCAGAGGTTCAGCAGCCTCCTGTCCAGTGTGATCCTGAGGGAGGTGAGGAGAGGTCAAAGGGGAACTGTGGAGGAGAAAAACAAGCAGGAGACAATGAGCAGACCCAGAGCTGGGCTCTTTGCCCTGGAAAACAGGAGGCTGTGGAAAACCCCAATCGAGTTGTCATCATCCAACTCTGGATCCGCAGCTGGCGGCCCTGCCTGCATATTAGTTTCACCTGGGGAGCTTGGAAGCCACCACTGCCTGGACTGCTCCCCAGACTAATTAAATCRGAACCTCGGGTGGGAGCAGGGCTTCAGTATTTGTTTATGCTCCCAGGTCATCCCAGTGTGTGGTCACACTGGAAAGCAACTGTCCARAGGGAAACTGGTGCCCCCCACTGTTGGTCTAGGGCAGCAGAAGGGTATCTTCCTGCTGCCTCCGTGTAGAGCCAACACTCTGGGAGGGTCTCCCAAGGCACCCTGTGGTGTGGAGGGGCACAGCTTGCAGAAAGCTCCATGAAAATGCACACATTCATGACAGGATTAACTCCATAACTCCATCTACCCCCAAATCCACTCACATCACAAATGTATTCAGTTTCTTCTTTCTGTGTATTTATGTATTTATGAATATATAAATACATCAGCAGGATTTTTCTCCCCATAGAAATGAAATCCTGCAGTCTGTCCCTCTCTGCCACGTGCATTACCTTCCGCAGTCCCAGACATGTCCAGTTTCATGAGTGGTCTGTGTGTGTGTGTGTGTTTGTGTGTGTGTGTGTGTGTGTGTGTGCTTTTGTCAAGAGCCAAAAGTACCTAATCTAAGGAGGAAATCCATCTTTCCTGAGGGAAGAGTGAGTGATTTTCCTGTCAAACATTGTGGCCAGATCCTTCTCTGCATGGCCTCCTCTCTCCAGCATGATAGTTTGGTCCTGTAAGCCAGCAGTTGAGGGGCAGAGTGGACAAAGCTTACCCCCACTCTGTCCTGGGGGCCCCTGGGAGCCTCATTGTGGCCAAGCACTTGAAGAGCCAAATCAGTGTGCTCCGAGTGAGCTGACAGGAGGATGAAAGGAAATGGAGCAAAGCACAAGTTGACCTGGTGGACACCAGCTCACAGATGAAAGAGGGAGATGATGTGCGTTGGGGGTGGGGGGGTGGYGGTTAGAATGAGGGAGCCTCCAGGCCAGGTTTTGAAGGAGGAGAGGAGTGTAATTTGTGTGCTTTGGTTGAGGAGGAATGATAACATAAGAGGGAGAGAGGCAGGCAGGAGCTTGGGGTGAAAMGGCAGAGGCCAGAGTGAGGGCAGCTGAGCGGACCCCCTGGGCAGCAGCCTTAGCCTCAGGTGCTCTGGCTAGGTCACTTCCGCTCTCTCACTCTGCTCTGCCACAAGTGGTTGCTGTTCCCATTTTGCAAATGAGTGAAACTGATTCTAAGAGACAAAATTATCATGCCCCAGGGCCTCCCAGCTGGGAAGGAGTACAACTGTGATGCCAAGCCTGATCTATGCTCCTGTCACGGCCCCCTGCACCTTGTCTTCTCAGGGATGTACTCTGTGCTGTCCTCACAGGCTGAGCAGAACTTCCTCCAGCCCATGGGGCAGCAGGAGGAGAGAGGGATTGGGCCCCCAGGACTGGCAGAGGTCTGGTTGTCATTCAGCTGGGGGATAGGGAGGGCAGCAGCTGGCACGCATACCTGGATTCAGAGGCTTATCTGGATGTTTGCTGCATGCCCTCACTGGGATCTTTTCTATATCTAACTTGAAAAGTTACAGAAAAATTACAAGAATAGTACAAGAAACTCTTGAATGCTCCTTACTTGAAATTCAACAATTATTTACATTTTGTTCCTTTTTTTATCATTTTATATATATATATATATATATATATATATATATATATAGATCCATATAAGACCAAATTTTGTATCCATGCCCTGGACTTCTAACTCACTGTGTGTCTTCTAAGAATGTAATCACAGTGCAATTATTGAAATCAGGAAATTTGATATTGAACAATGGTATTCTCTCATCAACCCACAGTCTACCTTCCAGTTTAATACCAGCTTAATAAGCGGATTCACGGATTTCTCCTATTAGTCTGTATAAGGTGGTGATCTTTTGAAGAGATCAATGAGCATTTTACAACTTGAGTAGATGGCCCCTGAGTGGGTTCATAATCAGTATTTGATTTTCTATCAATTCATGAGTTCTGTGCTTTAGGGTTCCTGTCTCCACTGCGATTTAAGGATCATACAGATGGAACATCCCTTTTATTCCATGCCTGGCCTTGAGCCTCATCTCTGACATTGGACCATCCCAGTCACTATGTTAGACTGTCTCAGATTATGATGCTTTTATTTATTTTTTTCTAATATTTATTTTTTAATTTTAAGTGGACACAATATCTTTATTTTGTTTTAATGTGGTGCTGAGAATCGAATCCAGTGCCTCACGCATGCTAGGCGAGCGYGCTACCACTTGAGCCACATCCCCAGCCCATGATGCTTTTATTTTATTTTTGCTATACCAAGGCTTCCCCATGCATGCCAGGCAAGTGCTCTACCACAGAGCTACATACCAGCCCCACCTCCCACCCACCTTTTTTTAAGACAGGGCCTCATTTAGTTGGCTGAGTCTGTCCTCAAACTAGCAATCCTCCTGCCTCAGCTCCATGAGTTCCTAGGATTACAGGTGTGCACCACTGAGCYCAGCTGATGCTTTTAAATATCTTCGCCACCACCCCCAAACCCATTTTTGTGTCTCCCTGAAACCAAAAGTCATGTCAATTTGAAAGCATTTTTGGATATCAAACAATGTCCAGTTTTTGTGAAGGTTTCCCCCAAATCAAATCTTTCTTCTAAACATTTTTTGCAGGTTGGGGGAAGTGCTAGGTCCTGAAAGGACTTAAAAGGCTGGAAGCAGTGGCTCAGGAGACTGAGGCAAGAGGATCATGAGTTCAAAGCCAGCCCCAGCAAAAAGGAGGCACTAAGCAATTCAGTGAGACCCTGTCTCTAAATAAAATACAAAATAGGGTTGGGGATGTGGCTTAGTGGTTGAGTGCCCCTGAATTCCATCCCCAATACCAAAAAAAAAAAAAAAAGGCAAGGGGGCTGAAAG